AAGTTAGTGTACAATCATAGCAAACATAAAGGGCGAAAATATATTTGTCGTTATTGTCTTCATGTATATTCTTCAGAGATAAGATATAATGAACATTTACCAAAATGTAAGGGTCTAAATAATGCTCCACAGCAACCACAAATGCCAATAAAAAACAAGAGCATTAAAGCTTTTTATAACCATAAATGCATGCAACCAAATCCATATCGTATTTTCTGGGATCTAGAAATGTTAACCGAAAAGTTAACTCCAGAAGAGAAAACGAAATTAACTTCTACTGAAAGGATACAGATGCATAAGCCCTGTGGTTATTCCTACATAGTTATTCGAATGGACAGTTCGCTTAACTATGAAATCATGAGTCACGATTTATATAGAGGCCCAGATGCGCTTGAAAAATTTGTTATAAAAATAGAGGAGGAGATGGCAAACATACAGGAGGACTTATCAGTTCCGGCTGAAATGATTATGGCATCGGGAGATCTTGAAACATACAAAGAAGCAACCGAATGTTGGATTTGTAAAAACCCTTTCCTTGAACCATCGCCAGAAGTAAAACAGTCATTTCATGAAGCAAAATGCAATTTGTTAGAGATTACGGAATGGGAGAAACATATGGAAAAAGAACATCCAAAAAAGAAAGAAGCACAAAAGGAATATAGTAAAGCTTTAAGTGGGCTCAATCGTAAGGTTAAAGACCATGACCATATAAGTGGAGCATATCGAGGACCTGCTCATAATTCCTGCAATAAAAAGTTACGAATAGGATCTTTTGAGACAAAAGTACCTCTTATCTGCCATAATTTCCGTGGGTATGATTCCCATCCGCTCATGAAGGTTGTTAGTAAATTCACAGCAGACAAGCTAGAATGTATTCCAGAAAATATAGGAAAGTATAAAGCCATGGATGTAGGACAGCTTCGGTTCTTAGATAGCTTCCAGCATATGGCAATGGGACTTGATAAGTTAGTAGCGTGTCTAGGAGAAAAACCTGAAAAGTTTCCCCTAACTGTCAAACACTTTATAGAGAAAGGATATTCACTAGAGAAAATTAAGCTTCTTTTCCGAAAAGGAGTATTCCCATATGACTGGACAAATGCATGGGAAAAATTTAACAGAACAAGCCTCCCGCCTAGAAAGGATTTCTATTCGCTTCTTAGTCAGCAAAATATCAGTAAGGGGGACTATGAACATGCTCAAAAAGTATGGCAGACATTTAAGATGAAAAGTTTTGGAGAATACCATGATCTTTACCTTGAGACAGATGTACTTTTACTTGCGGATGTTTTTATGAACTACACTATCATGTGCTTGAAAGATGACGGCTTAGATCCCTCTCATTATGTTTCAGCACCTGGAATGTTTAATGATTCTCTTTACAAAAGTAGCGGGGCAGAACTCAAACTTATGACAAATATGGATGAATATCTAACGGTAGAAAATGGCATTCGTGGAGGCATGACAATGACAAGTTATCGATACGCTAAAGCAAATAATCCACAATGTTCAGACTATGAGTCCAGCAAGCCGAATTCTTGGATCATGTATGAGGATATGAATGCTTTATATTCAGGTGCAATGACCCAATACATGCCTACAGAAATTTTAGGTAAAGTGAGTCCAGAAGAAGTACCAGATATCCAAAGTATCACGCCTGATGCAGAAATAGGCTATATGCTTGAACTTGATCTAGAAGCTCCAGTGCATTTGCACGATTACTTTACAGATTATCCTTTAACGCCAGAAAAGCAAATAATACCAGAAAACTGGCTTAGCCTATATAACGAAAGATTAGTGAATGATAAAGAAGTTGGAAATGGAAAGTATGCATCAGGAGAGAAGTTGGTTCAGACTCTTTATCCTAAAAAGAACTACGTGATCCATTATCGAGCTCTCCAGACATATATGAAGTTTGGAATGAAGGTTACAAAGATTCATAGCGCTCTCAAGTTTAGGCAGTCTCCATGGATGAAAGACTATATTGAGGAAAATATTCGCAAACGTAAAATTGCTAAAGCTAATGGGGATGAGTTTGGGGTCATGTATTATAAGCTAAAAAATAATGCGGTATTTGGCAAACAAATGGAAAATGTTCGTAAACATATGAGAGTAGAGCTACTTAAAATAGAAGAGGATAAAAAAATCAGGCGTCTAGCAAGTTCTCCATTATTTGTGGGTTTCAAACAATTCGATGGAGGAATTACAGCTATTCATATGTTAAAAAGCACAGTAACACTAAACAAACCAATCTATGTAGGGCAGGCAATTCTCGACATTAGCAAGGCTATGATGTTCAACTTTTGGTACGGTTACATAAAGCCTC